CTACTCTCAGTCAGTTCAAGGCCGGTTCACCATCTCCAGAGACAACAGCAGACAGCAGGTGTATCTGCAGATGAACAGTCTGAAGACTGAAGATTCTGCTGTTTATTATTGTGCTCGAGAGCCACAGTGACTGGAGTTGGTTGAGCAGCTGTACAAAAACCTACAGTGCACTTCTTCTTTCAGGCTGTTAGAGCCGAAGCATTAAGTATTTTTTTTTGTATTTCTATGAAATGTAATGCTGTATTTTCTGTATAATGTTATATCTAAAGGTTTATATTTTATGTTTTACATAACACATATGTCACAAATAATAAATTAATCTCTGCACCTCCCATTGTACAAATCAAAAAAAGTGTTCTTGAGAAATACTATTACAAATCACTAAACATAAGGAAACCCTAACACACACAATAAACATCACCTTTTCATAAAATGGCCAAAGACAGCACAAAAATTTGGTCTTGAAATTAAACTACTTTCAATTTCTACAAATGAAGACACAATAAAATGATGTGCCCCCTAAAGTGAGTCATAATATGATCGTAAAAAACCCAATGTTGTAGTTAATTATATCAAATCAATAAAGTTCAGTAAGTAAGGAAATAAATGAATTAATAAATGCAGTGCATAGTATATACATGCTTATGCAACACTTTCAGGCACTGATAGTTTACAGTAGGCTTAAACAAAGTTAACAGTTGTTTAATTGATGTAAAGGCAGGGACATTTTCTAAATGTTACTGTTCAGTGTGTAATAAAGTTACATCACTGTGTAAAGCAGAGGTGATTTGTTGTCACTCTGCAGATATAATAACACTGAACAGACTCTTCTATTGGCTCCAGTTAGACCAAGATTGATGCTTCATATGTTTGATTCTATGCAAACTCAGTAAGCTTCCTTGTTACTCAGCTATAAAAACATCACATCAGGCTGTCAGTGGAGTTCACAGCACGTCAGTTTCAACATAAACCATGTTCTCTGTAGCTCTGCTGCTGCTGTTGGCAGCTGGATGTGAGTCTCTCTGGATTTGTCAAAGTCAACAGTTCTTC